GACCTGGGGAGCTATTTGTGCAGAGTTTGTATGTTCTCCCTGCGTTGTCATTTGTTTCCTCTGGATGCTCCACTTTGCTCCCTCAGTCCAACAACATACTGGTAGCTGAATTGGTTTCTAGGTAAATTGGCCCGATTGTGTGTTTCTGTGTGTGTGCATGTGCCCTGTATTGGACTGGCATCCCATCCAGGGTGCCTTGCACCTGTTGCTTGCCCTTGGGTGGATGTAAAAGACAGGTGTATGATATTAAATAAAACTGCTTTAATATTAATTTGATTGTGAAAAATTTCAATAAATGATTTAAAGTCAGTCTGAAGAATAATCTTAAAGAATTCTAAATGTAAATATGTCTGTCATTTTAGAGGGAAAAATACATTTACTAACAGGGTTATAAGAACCCTTGTGGTATGCCCCTTAGTTGTTCTCTAGAGTGTCCTTTAAGTTTAAGGATTCCGCATGGAAAAGCTAAACACATGCTAATCAGTAAATGGAAAATAATTTAACTCACTTTCGACAGTCTTGGACCACTTACTGCATGTACAGATATAGAACTCCGCTCATTTGTTCTGGAAGCTTTTTAAAATAATTGCCAGAACAAGGTTTTTCTTGTGCTTGCTTGTCCAGTTCGGTAAATAAAGAGGTGAGGGTAAAGATGCTGTCTGGCACCAGGACAAGAGCCTGTTCCAGCCTCGGAGATGGTTAATGCAGTCATTTGGGAATCATTTAATTTAATATTTAATGGAGCGTGAGGCACAGGGACCTCCCAGGGCAATCTGTATTTATAGTCCTAGTGCTGCAGGTTGCAGTGCTCACAGCACAAGAAGGAGACTGCAGAACATAGACTGGAGCACAAATTGTCAACAGCAACAAAAACAGTCATCCATAGAAGCACATGCACATGCAGTGTACATAAATCCAGCTGTGAACACACAAAATATTTTGTCAACATCAGTTAAAAACAAATACATTTCCTTTTCTTCCCCATCTAAATAAATCTCATCCTCAGATATTTAATTACTTCCCCCATGGAATTACCGCAACCCCACAACTTTACTTGGCATTACTAAGTGTGTCCACCATAGTGCGTGTTGTCAGTCACAGGGTTAAACACTTCTTGGTCACACTTTCAGCTCACTGAGCCATGCAGCTCAAACACCTACTAAGTCTGCTGCAGCAGGTGATCTATCCCCTGATGTGAGGGATCTGAATACTCTTGGGAGCTCAGGGGGAAGAGACCACCGTGACAAACTTATTATATACTGGACTGTATGCACGGAGCGTCAGGTCATAGAACATCTGGGACGTAACTTGTTCCTCTGACATGCCTGCCTGCAGAGCCATTTATCTCACATGTTGTGAGCTCCATAGCTCCCAACAGCAGAGCTACCACTGACTGGTGACGGGTATCTTTCACTCACGTCACTGGAAGTCAGAGGAGCTGTTGTTTGCTAGACAGACAAGAAAGTTGTGGTCGAATACCCCAGTTCCAAAGGCACTCTGCTAGTTGGCTACTGGCATGAAACAGGGTAGCACTAGTGACGTACTGTAACTGAAAAACTGAATGTGTAAGTTATTCATCACCTTGGCAGATTCTATATTTTAATTTGCCTCTGGGAAGACCTCTTGAAAATACAGGGGTGGTGGTGGTAGTGAGGTTTGGGTGATGGTTTATTTGAAATGGTGGCCCTGCCTCTGTGCTCTTTTACACCTCTCCCCAGCTGTCAAGAAAACGATTTCCTGTCAAATACTTGGCAAGATCACCTCTATTTCCTCTACAGTGACAAACAGCACTTATACTACAGTATGTCATTTAATAAAGTTAATTAAATCCAGTGTAAATGACTAATTTAAAAACTCAAACTTTCAATCAAAATAATAACTGCCAAGATTTTATCATGATTTACACTCTTAATTTCCCCAGTGAGGAGTCCAAGTGCCATGGAGCTCTGTGCGAAACACATATAACGCAGTCTGCTGAATACTTGATGCCTAACTTCAATGGAAAGCTTTATATCATTAAAGTTAAATGGAAAAACAATTTGTTGGATTTAATCAGCATGTAGATGCCATTGTCTGCATGCCTTTGGCTTTTTGCTGTAACCCATTTCCATTCTTCTCACACAAAGTACAAAGTGTCGCTTCATAGTGCAGTACGGTGGCCACTGTCCTGAGCTAAGTCATGTTCAGCACATAATCAATATCTATAAGAGTGCAATCTGTAAAGCACACCACTGAAAATATATGTAAAACGGGTTCAAAACAGGTATAACACAAAGACAGTTGAGCTGCACAGATTTCTGTGGCAGACAAATGGATGGTAACAAACGTTGTTGCATTTTCACATTCTAAATATCTTTTAGACATCTGTGTCTTTGCAGCAGTTGAGGGTACAGGAGAAAAAAATGAGCAGTCTGCAAAGTACATCAGTGGCTAGGATGTCTGCTTAAGCCTGAGTAATGAAAGACATGTCTAAGGAAGAGTATAAGACAGGAACTCTGGACCCTTATTCAACTTGATTTCCAGTCTGTAGTAAATATATATTTTCTCTGTCGATAAGAAAGAGAAATAAATACTGCAAAAGGATATACTATTTGTAAGGACCCATGTGTTAAATAAATAAAAAACAATTAGTAAATTTCCTAGAAGCTATATGACAAAACTGAAGACTTTTGTTTTTAGCTTCCCAGCCAGTTAAGATAACTTAAGGCCTCAGTCTCAACCTGTCAGAATGCTTTTGTAAAAGATTGTGGCCTAACAAATATTTGCTCATTTAATGGAAAAGATGAAACATGCTTTATCTTAATTAATCAACAAGGGGAACTGAGATTCTTCTGCATGAACTATAGAACTGGTCCAGCACTTCTGGCTTTAGGTGGAATCGTAACCAAACCAAGGTTTTTGTACTTGACTGTAGCTCGCTGAGAACTCAGCAGTGTCATCGGTGAGAGCTGCAGTGGTCCTCCAACTAATGCCCAAGTACTGCAGTTAACAGGTGCTCAGGCAGGTACATCACCTGTGCCCACATTATGTCTGGCATGTTATGCATCTTATTCCTATATGCCAGAAGACCAGACTTTTTTTCATCTCCATATTCCACTTGACAGGCAATGTGTTCTATCTGTGTGGTACTGTACATAGTGTGATGGGTTCATATGCCCTGGCTCGTAATGTTGTATTTACATGTCCAGGCTGGTATGTAAACTAGTTCATCCTGCAGTCAAGCTACTGTGTGTGTATTTTGACCCATAAGAAGGCCATAGGCAGTTATGGTGATGATTACTATAGAAAACCACTGTGCAGTGTGATTCATGGCAGGGAAGTGAGCCCTCCAGCTCAGGTGAGAAATTCCTCTCTTGGCTGCCCGGGAGGCTCCTCGGGAGTCCAGGAGGTTGTGGGGGGGGCGGGAGCCAGCTGTGCAAACACCTGGCATGTCTCATCTTTTCAGCTGCTACAGATTTTTTAGGCCCCTCAAGAATTCATCATGCCAAACTTCACAACCTCCACAATGAGTCAAAAGATTTGTGCTCCTATATAAGCAGTAGCTTAAGGAAGAAAGCAGTAGACAGCAGAAACACATAAACCTATCTTGATTATTTTCAAAAGACCGATCTCTTACTTACTTTGGGATTTATACAGGGAATGAACAAATACTGAGCAATTCAATAGTATGTTGCACAAGGAAAAATGATTCTTATATATTGCTTCTACATTATGAATTAAAATACAGCAAAACTACAGTTGACTTCACTGCTGCCATCTACGTTTGCATATCCGGTCTTAGATCTTTACTCCCAGGAAGACACAGGGTTTCCTGGTTACCATTTCAATCTAATTCCCAGACTCTTAACTACACCAAATATTGCCTTAATTCGTCAAGAATAATATGATCTTTAGCCACCAGCTTAAGACGCTTATAAAGCTGCAGGACACAGGATTGGATGGACTACAGCAGCAGGTTATCACATTATAGTAGGCTGTATTCTTCCTCCAGTACATCTCACATTGCTTTTAGCTGTACATATTGCTCATCAGATCACTGTACAGAATTATGCGGCCGCTGTCTGCTGCCTAGGCACTGTCCAGTAGCTAAGCACACAATGTGTCATAGATTGTGAGATTCAAGTTTCGCCTTATACAGTAAGAAATCAACATGATCAATGAGATACTATACTATGGCAAATAGGGAAACTAATAGGGAACACAAGCTGGGTATATGCCATTGTGACACAGGTTAGTTTCACACTACTGATGATGTGTTGTTGCAATAGTAATTCTGCTTGACTGAATTGGCACATGTGCAAAGCTGCCATCTGTAGGATTATGCCTGTACACCTCTAAGCCAAAATCCCCCCTAAACAGTTCTGAACAGTTCTGAATCTTGCTTAGATGTGTAAAAAAAGTGTATGCCACAGAGACATCTACATTGGACAAAGCATTTCGTGCTTTCAAACAGCACCCTGTATGATCACAACTTCACATCATTTCAATCAAGAGGTTAAACTTTGTTTTAAGAAGAATAAATCACTGATGACATACATGACACATATCTGTTTTTACATCATATTAAAATATGCATGTTGGAGTGAAGAGAAATGCCCTCATTAATCTTATGGTGTTATGTAGTACATACTGTCCCTGCATATTTACAGCACAGTTGTGATAACATGCTGTATACATTTTTGCTTAACTATACCACCTCTGTACGTCCAGATCTGGGCTCGTCAGACTGAAGTCCACTGAAATGGCCCCTTGTGTACTCAAACCTGGACAAAGACACTCGTCCCACATTTACACTCAAAGTGCTACCAAGCTAGTTAGGAGACAGATTCCTGTGGCCTACTGATACCAGCACACAGCAAGTCACTACACCAACAGCCACCAAAGGACAAACTGTATAGATTCTCTCTGTCATGGCAAGATGAAGCAGCACTACGCTTGTGCTATAAATGGAACCTCCCGGGTCAGAATGACCGGCGGCCAGTCCATTCAGGTCCACTTACCCAGCAGGTGCTTGAGCACTGCCTGGTTCTGGTCCCAGATGCTGTTGAAGGTGCTCCAGCGTGATCGCCCATCAGGCAGTGGGTTCTTCCTCACCCAGCCCCCACAAGCATACTGGTAGAAGTCCTGGCAGGGGTCGACACTGCGGTCCAGGGCCTCCACGATCTTACTGCCTACTGTGATGCAGGCCTCCGTCAGGCACAGTGTGCGGGCAGGGTCTAGGGCACAGCAGACAACAATCAATTCAGGCCATTTGTGTCAAGGTCAGTGTACAAGTGCTTCAGCCCATGACTCTTGGAATGCACCTGTCAGCTTACAGGTATGTGAATGCCTGGCTCTACAGTCCTTGTGCCCGAGTATGTGCGCGAGTCTTTGGGCCCCTTATCCGCGCCTACTATGTTTTTGAGTGTATGTGCCACTGCACCTGAGAATCTGTACAGAAATGTCTCGATTTGTTTGTCTCAGCGTGTGTCAGTCTTTGTATCTCTATCGGTCTGTGCAAGTGTGTTGTACCTGTGCTGTAGCGCACCCCCAGGGTCACAGCACATCCGAAAAGTGCCAAGAGGGACAGCAGCAGCAGCCCAGACAGCAACATCTCCAGGTAGGTGCGTCTCCCCAGGGGGCCCAGAAACTGGACTCCAGGTTTCTGGAAACCCACCTACACAACAGCACACCAGAGCAGAGGGAAGAGGTGAGGAGCCGTAGGGGAAGCTGAGGGTATACAGGCATGGAGAAGATTTGAATATCTGAAGCAAGGATAGAGAACCCCGTTGCCTCTTTAGCGGCATGAAGTATCAAACATCTGTTCGCTCCCAACTTGAACACAACAGAACTCCTACAGCCACGAGCAGCCTGCTGTTCAACAAATACAAACAAAAAATAAAAACCGTGGAAAAAAAGATTCCTTAATTAACACTCCACGGGCATGATGATGTGTTCAATGTATTCCTTTCAATGATTACTCTCTGTCAACATTTTCTTGAATAAACTCCTAATATCAAGTTTTTGAGAAAACCTATTTATTTGAACCTTTGTAGACGATTCTGGTTTCTACTAACGCAATGCGTTGTAGTGTACGGTATATACGTCCTTAACAATACAATTCAGGAAATAATCTCAGCAGTTATCTTATACTTTTTTCTGTAGTGTTACCAAAGATAAACCCAGGCACACTTCGCGTAAAAACAGTTACAGACAAAACTAAAAACCAATTCACTTCAAAATAGCACAATTTAAGCGATTTAAGCGATATATTATAGCATGTCTGTGCACTTGGGAGTTAGCAAGCAGCGACTGAAAAAGTGATTTTACGTTGGTTTTTCAATCCTTATTTATAATTTATAAAAATACAATATTCAAGTGATGAAGTTAAAATAAAGATTCGCTCTGCATTACTACTGAAAGAAATTCCATTTTAAACCGATAGATATTTTATAATTAAAATGCAGTTCTTTTGCTACAGTGAAGAAGGCTCCAGTAATTCGCGATCAAAAATTGTCTTCGCTCATCATTTATAAGTATGTCCCCACAATCTTATGGGATGCAAAAAAAATGTACAGTACAGTATTAAATGTGCTTGCCTTCATCGTCCTTCACTTTAATGAGTAAGCTGCAAAGCCAAACACATTTCAGTAATGGGTTTGAACTAGAACGCCCGAAGCTAGATGTCTCCAAGCGCAAAGGTTTCTGGTAAATTTACTCAGGTGTTAGTAGTTCCTATTCTTCTGTGACTCTCTTAAAGCATCTATTCACTGCATGTTCTGCATTATTTTACATGAAACTAAATATGTAACCCCTTGTAATGTGTTCACTCCTGTATGTAATGTTAACTAATATTCACACTATTGTGTATTAATGTCATGTTGGTGTTTCAATGAGAAGTGGGTCTTTTTTCATCCTTGAGGGGATCTAAGGGCAAAGCCCAGTGCCTCTGTTGATCTGGTGGGAAATTATTTTAAAAAAAATTGATATACGGATAAAGGTACTATCCAACATTGCCATAGGTACAATAGTTCTGTTCCAGTGGCAGCATGGTGACAGTGGTTGGTATTGTTGTCTTGCAATGCTGTGGCCCTGGATACAAATCTGGACCTAGGGTAGTATCTGTGTGTAGTTTGTTCTCCCCATGTTAGCGTGGGTTTCCTCCTAGTGCTCCAGCTTCCTCCTGCTGTCCTAAGACATACTGGCAAGTTTATTCACAAAAATTTGCCACGGTGTGAGTGTGTGTGCATCTGTCCTGCGATGGACTGGCGTCCGACCCAGGTTGTATCCTGCCTTACTCCCATTGCTTGCCGGGCTGGGCTCCGGCTCCCCCGCAACCCTGTAATGGATAGGGTGTTTGGAAAATGGATGGATGGAAGTTCAGTTTCAGGTGTCAGCCATCCGGATTATCACAGCTGCTCTGAAAGTCTGAAAAAACTAATTTCCCAGGCTTGACAAAAAATTGTACCCTCTATATAAATGTATTGGAAAACAATAGTGCATATGTGTCAAGAAAAACAAATTCATGTTTAACTTTAAATGCTAAAATAGAAATAGCATTTTCTGTGTTCTTGGGAATATTTAAATAGATTTCAGTGTTGCCATAAGCCAGCGATAAGTATATTGTTTTCTTATTCATTGCGTTCAGTAGACAGATTTTCCATGGCAACTGCTCCACTCTCTGCTAGCCAATCATCGGCACTGATTTTCATCTCCACAAACCACATACATCTCACTGAAGATATAATGTATATGCTGCACAAAGAATGCATTCACACCACCATTATTACTGTGTTGTGAATATTGAATACAATTGTGTTCTATCCATTGGACCGATTCACACTTAGATAGAGAGAGAGCAGACAGAACAGTGATAGTGTGAAAAAGCCACAGAAGACAGAAGGTGAGTTAGGTCAGACATCTGGTAACTTCAAGAAGGAAATATTTGTGCTAGAATGAACTCCTTGTTTGTTTTTGTCATACAGACTTCTCAATCATAATGACGAAATGTCGGAACTCTTTTTAAAAAATATTTCTATAACATATTTTGAATTCAGAAAGCTGTTAATGTATATCTTCTAATGTCAAAATAATGCCGTATTTACATATTAGACTCTAAAAATGCTCTCTGGGGAAGTGCGTCTCTGGATCAGTCTAGAATTTTTTTTCCCATTTTCACTTACTACAAGCCTTTTCACTTACAGTTACAAGCCTTACTAGGAATAAGCATATTTCTGGTCATTAGTTACTGAGAAGATGGAGTTCCCTATAAAATCGCTGGGGCTGTGACTCTACAAAACCAGGAGTGCAAGGGCTGCTCTAATTTTATCAGTCCTTCAATGCTCGCCAGTTCCTGCTGGATACCAAGTATCCCATGATAGGTGATCAACTCCAGTACTAGATTTGTGTACAACTAGCATGCGTAGCAGTTTCTGATTAATATGATAATTAACTTTGACATTTTAACAATTGGTTGCACAGTATAAAGGACGTGTACTGTAATGGACTGACAGATCCACATGGATGTGAATTATAGAGCTGCCAGTTGCTGTCACCACTTCCATTAAAGCTTACAGAGTAAAGATGGTGTCTAACACCTTCTCTTTGGAGGGGGGTTGTAACCTGTTAGTTCATGGGGTAGATTAAACCATCCTAAGCAAGGAAAGCTAGCAAAGCAAATTAGGATTATTAACAACCGATGCATAATATATCAAATCTGTAACTAGAAATAAGGAAAAATAAATAAATGAATTCATTTCTATAATAAGAATTGCTCATCTTTATTTCATTTGGAATCTGACAGATCTCTGTTTCTCTGCATTGCAAGGCACTGACTATAATTACACAACAGCATCATTGTAGCAACTTTTTACAGTCTAATATCCACAATCAGTTTGCAAGAAGCTTTACATATCCTGGAATTTACAATTAATTGTACAGATGTATTTATCTAGAGAGTTTTTATATTTTCTGCATGACTTTGTAGTTGATTTAAAATGAGCATGTACACAGTTCAAGACATAATACCTACACACTCTCATCAGATGTGCAAAGATTTCATACAAAACAAGTATAGCCTCAGAGATCAAGATTATACTGTACACCCAAGATGCGCAACTCCAACTTATGAAGTTGTTCCTTCAGGAATAATAATTAAATTATTACTAAAAACAGTCATAATAAGTCTTAAAAAATAATAGATAATTACTGTAATGCATTCTTTTCTTGTGGATCTGCAGTCTATGGTACTGTAACAAGGATTACTGCAGATCTCTATGAGAAAATACAAATTTAATAATGACATACACTGTAGGTAATGGAAAGAAAATCAGTCTGTCCTATGATAAATAAGTAAATAACCTAATCCTTTGCACCCCTTCATTACTTATAGCCTCATTTTCCCATTTCAAACATTTGCACTGAAGAATTGAGAAAATAAAGTAGGAAGAAATGCAAGGAACATGTTAATTCAGATATGCATACCAGGAGATCTATATGCTGATTGGCTGCTAACAGACAACAACACAATTAAGTGTGCACTCAGCAAAACTGTGAAAGACTACGACAGAGAGATTGAGGAAGAGTGCACTAAAAACCCACATGAAATCTGCAAAAAACAAAGCTCTGAAGAACGGTCAAAAAAGTTCAATATCTGCAATGTCAAGAGATTTATTACCAACAGCACCATGAAACAAATGACTACCGGGAACAAATACACAACTCCAAGACAGGGAAGGTATTGTATTTCTTTTTTTTATAAAGGAGACATAAAATAAAGAGACCAACCATCCCTTTAATTAGATACATATGGCCAAATTATATAGTGTTTTACCTACTGTATTTGATTGTACATTTTCAATTTTTTTCCATTATCTTATGATAATTTGCACATTATCTGTGAATTGAAAATAAAGCAAGAGGACGGGTTAAAGTAAATATTGATAATGGGTTATTTGTCAAAAGGATTTTGCTTTGTCAGTCACTCATTACTAAAGAGACTACTGTGTAACATTTGTGCCTTTCATAAAAAATGAAGAATGCTTAGAATGCTTTTTCTTTGTCACCTAGCACTTTTTGCTTCTCCTAACACTGACTAAATAATAAAACCTTAAATAATATGCAGTATAATAACTGAGTTTGGGGATTTGCATTGTTCATATTTACATACAAGTCAATTACGGTAATCACCTTATTGTACATATAGGATTGTTGTATTGGCTGTTTAACTACTGGACATAAAAGATTAAAAGATCTGTTATTTTTCGTATTTTCATGCATCTGCCTTGGATTATGCATGTAATTTATGTTATTTTAGAAGTAATCACTATGTAGTTGGTGGTTTTATGGTTAAGCTACAAAAAATACCAAAGTAATAAAAAAACAAAAACTTCACCTGTTTCTAATGATTCATAAAGTATTTTCTTAACCCCTGCAAAACTAGATGACAGAATTTTTTAACCTAGAATTTTAAGATATAAAGGCTCAAGCTTTGTAAAGCTATAGTGAACCAGGAAATAAGTGTAGACTCTAGATTTTCATTGGGATCAAATTGTTTTTGTGTCTATGTAATTCTACTAAATTAATATTAAATACCCATCCATTTTCTAACCACTTTATCCAATATAGGGTCGCAGGGGATCCAGAGCCTATCTTGACATCTATCTTAACAGGCTCGAGGCAGGATACATCCTGGACTGGACACCAGTCCATCACAGGGCACACATATACATACAAATACACACTCTCACACCAGTGCCAGTTTTTCCAGAAGCCAATGAACTCACCAATACGTCTTTGGACTGTAGGAGAAAGCTGGTGCACCCGGACAAAACCCATACAAACACAGGGAAACATACTGTAAACCCCATGAAACCCCAGGAATTTAACCCAGGGTCCCAGCACTGCAAGGCAGTAATGTTAAATATTAATGGAGATTTCTCGTATCTCTCATGAATCAACAAATTCCTGTCTGGTTCTTATGTGGGGAAAGAATATCATCATACATGTAAAATTATGGTCTTACAGTCTGAATCTTAAACATAACATTGCAGTAAAGGAAAAAGGATTTGTACATGTAATTCTTGTCTTACAAACAAGATGGCTACCCATTATTTGGTTTTAGCTTTCATGGGCCATAGCATAGGAGCAAATTCTCTCCTACGATATGATACAATACACTTTATTAATCCCCAAGGGGGAAATTAATTTACCCCTTGGGGATTAATATCACCAATTAATTAATTGGGGAGTAGCTCATAGTCATAAAATATCATAAAAACACTACACAGACATATAACACAGTACATTGACACAGTTGATCAATTGTGCACTATTCTTAACACAAGAACTGTAAAAAACAGTAAAAGTCCAAGATATAAAATCTCAAAAAAGCTTTGGAGCTATTCAGTGCACAGATGACTGAGTACAAAGGATCTAAACCACTTATCCTATACAGGTTATCTTGGAAAATCTGCATCCCATCATCAGTGTATGCGCTAAACCACAAGTTCTACCAAGATATCACAGCATGTATTCTGGCTGAAGCTACAGATGAAGTGCTTGTAAACAGGATATCGTACTGCACACAATACCCACTATACCTTCGGAGCTACAGTTAGTACCATCAGTTTGGAAACGGGCTGTCTATGGCTTTTATTTAAAAATGTACCCGCAAGATAGAATGAGTCTGTGTTCACAAGAGGTACTTTTGTGTTCTTACTCACGTTTGTGGCCACCAATGGGTGAAGACCATTCATGTGTCAAGAACAGCCTTGGGTGTATTGCAAGATTTTCTGTGAATTGTGATATTGTGTGGCCCTTCCAGCTCACTAGCCCCTATAAACACAAAAAAACTGAAACCCAGTCTCCAAACAACTTTGATGATGTTTTGGTTTTATCACCTCACATTTATATTTTAAATGATGCCTCATTGTCGAGCAACTGGCTGTGCAGAACATAGAGGTCACACACAAAATGGAGGATTGGATCAGCAGGAAGTCAGACTGGTTCCTTTTCCAAGGGATGGTCAACTAGCCAAAAAATGGATAATTAACATGGGCACTGATGTTGATCTGATCAACAAGTATTTCAACAAGATTCAGCACAACGTACGAACAAGAAAGTACAGGTTGTGCAGCAGGCATTTCACCTCAGAAGTGTTCCAAAGTGATCTGCAAGCTGAGTCAACGAGTAAGTAGTATTTGTCGGCAAAATCGTTTTGCAGTTGATACTGTACGTCGAATTTGATTGCACTCAAATCTGCATTAAAAATAAAGTATAAAAAAACTTAAAATATATATGAAGTTATAAAGTAGGAACCTTCGCTTGGTCTACTGCTTGTGCTATAATGCAACAGGAAAAGATCAAGAAATCAACACAGTAAAACTGAAGAATATATTTTAGAATTATTTGTGCATGTTAAAAATTTGAAATTATATCCTCTGCTGTTTGAATAAGCACAATACAGCAAGCAATCAATAATGTAATGTATTCTAGTAACTCTTATCCTAACTGAAAAAATGATTAAATAATCTTCTGATATATTTTTGCAAAGGAACAGGTAAACATAAAATATTATGTATAATTTCAATAATATTTTTGTTAAACGCATATAAATGCAATAATTGTTTTTCTCCGTGGCTCTAATAAGCTTCCAAAGATTTTCACAGAATCTCAAAACTAAATAAGCTGAGGAAGGACATGGTCTGCAAGATGCAGAAAAAAACTGTAAGAGACTTAATTAAGATGTGTGATCCGTAAGTGCAAAAATAAAATCAAACACCATGTCAGGAAAAAAAAATGGTTTTGTAAAGGTTTGTTAGATGTGTGAAGAGCATCATAATAAATGATTAGCTGTAGAATTTTCATACCTTCTTCATTCTAGTTATAGTGTTTTTACTTATGGATATGGCTGGGGGAGCTGTCACTGTTACACTATTACAGCTAGTGGAGGAATGGCTGCCTTTCCTTGCCCACTGACCTCAACGCAGTCCGGCGAAACTGCTCCATCCACAGGAACGTCGGTCGCCTCGTCGTCTTCGAAAGTGGCGCGCTGGTAATTCGGCATCTGCAGAGGGGACAACAACAGACAGCATCTCAGTACAGGGAAGAGCTGAGGCGCGTTTGGCCGAAGAAGAAGAAGAAGAAGGAGCCGAAGGAGGACAAGAAGCGAGTCAGAGGGGAGAGGAGAAAGGAGACTGGGCTCCTCGTCCTCTTGAGGACGGTCCAAGAGACATGAAGAACATGAGGAGGAACCAATGACGGAGAAAAGAGTTCCCAGCCTAGAGAAGGAGGGGTAGAGAGGAGGAGAAAGAGGAGTGTAAGAAAGAAGAAAGTCACACTTTAACATAACGATGCGTGTGGTTGGATCCCACTAGAGCCCACACAGTATCAGATCTGCTCTGTCCCTTGGACGAGTGGGATTGGCACACCCTTGAGAGCCCAGGGGAGTCATTTCCACTGGAAGAGGCTCTCAACACACTCTGAGCCCTGTCAAACTACAGAGGAGCTGGAAGTCACAGTTCAGAAATTAATGCAGCAGATTAGGCAGCACATGGTGCTGGAGCTGCAAAACACAGCTAGAGAGCTTGTTAAAGCACACCAGAGACTGAGGTACACTGGCGTGGAGGGTTAATTCATCCCTACTGCATATGACAGGTCGTGGACAAGGTCAAAGTCTTCATTTCTCCAGAGACAGGACTGGAAGTCTGGAGATCAAGAAGAGAGGCATCAATGATGAAACATCAGGGACAGCTAACTTGAGTTCCATGTCCTGACAGCACTATGCATACAGCATTCACTCTATCTCACTGACACTCCTGGTCACGTGTCCCTGTGACAGAAGAGGGAGCTGCTTGCCAGGCCCTCTCTCTCTGCGTCTTTAAAGACTGCTAATGCCAGCTAATCTCCCCACATCTCCTCATCAAAGTGCATCTGCTGCCTGTGCTGTGGCTCCCCTGCCAAGCCTGTCAATAGCGCCCAAGTGTCAAATTGGAGATCTTCACTTCATTTTCAATCCAATGGCTGTCACGCCTCTCATCTGCTCTTAGGCAGTGAGGAAAGCTGAGCCTTGTTAAGAAGATTTATTTTTTTTCTACTTTGATACACATGCAACCAGAAATACAAGAACAACTGGAAATTTCTCAGCCTGTTAGAAAAAGGAAGTATCGCTCACTTTTGCCAGAATGTTTCATAGCCCGTATTGGCCACACTCAAACAGTCCAGTCACAGTAGTCTGATCTGTTCTGACTGGTCCTTGTGCAACAGATCATGTTACTTTTCAATGGTACATGGTAATGAGAAATTTCATTGAACTCAAGAAGGCTGCTTTCTTGAATCTATCACCTTTCTGTTTTTCCAGTTTTTCCGTTTTCCAGAACTAAAAAACCTGCTGTTTCCTTCTCTAAGTCCTTTCTGATACATACAGTAGCTACTATCAGAAAATATCATAGATGCAGAAATTATCAAGTATCATAGATACATAGACATACCTGCTATAGTCTGTCTGCCTCGCACACACGGTTCTCCCCCACTCTTTCACACACTCCTTGCCTTTCACTTTCTCTCACATACAATATGCAGTATTTCTCAGCAGTTAACAGGTTCTTTAGTCACCTGAAGAAGGCTCCACGGCCGAAACGTTGTGTTCTCTTTCTTCTTTTTTTCAGCATGGAATAAACCTATTACTTGGTTCTTTAGTCAGCATTATTCAAAAGCCCCCCTTGGTCTGGCCTGGGAATTTCACCCCTTGGAATAAATATAAAGGAATGCAAATATCCACTCAAGACAGATCCTGTCCCTCAGGAATAACAGAGTCCGAGAGCTCTGTGATGGGAGTTGTGTGGGTCTCCAGGGAACGACTGGCATGCCATTACTGGAAATAAAAACAACAAAACTGCTTTCTAAGATGTTTGAACTGAAACTGAAGAGTTTCTATCTGCAGTTCAGACGCCAGGCTTGAGGGTTGCTGTATAAAAACTGAGACCTGAAGCCAATGCTTTGAGGCAAGGAGCATTGTCAGCCTGGTCTCCCAAGTGCCTAGGTGGGGTGGGGTGGTTCTAGGTACTGTATACAGAAAAATTGGCTCGGCAGCAGCAGATATGTGCTGTTCCCCCTTTAAATACTGACTACTGACTACTCGTACTAAACAGAAATGGAGAAGGCTCAAAGAGAGCAGGAGCCTGCTCTCTCTCTGTAAGGGCCCCAATTTCATACATTCTGTTTTGTCTATTCTTTTCCAGAATCCACAATGAAACACAAACCAGAGGATATAACTGGAAACAATTGGGAAGTGCTTTTAAAACTGTGAGCCGGAGGTGCTTTTTTCCAGAAAGGTTAAACAAATTTTGAACTTCCAGGCCTTGCTGTCAAAGCCAATAACCCATTTTCATTTCCAGCAGCTGGATTTGGATTAATTAGCTACTAGCACCCAAACTAGATGGTCTCAACAGCCTCCTCTCATCTATTACGTGCGTAATGTTGTTATGGATTCAAAACCCACAAAAATAGAAGTGCCCCTGGTGCCTCCTGAGACACTGTTCAATACAGCCAGGAGCTGTAGATGCTACTAACACCCTTATCACATGAAACTGACTCCACAGCTCTCACCACTCTTAATAAAATACTCAATGGCCCTTTATTTCTTTACAATTGTGTAGAAAACATGGTATAATGCCATGTGACACTGTGTAATGAGGAAACATATCTGTCACCAGAGAGTGAATGATGATCAGTTTTCTGTGCTGACAAAGGAGCATTTGAGGCACATGGATGAATACTTCTCATGCTGAAAAATGTCAGTTTACAAACATGCCTTCTTTTTCATGCATATGCATGTAGTTTTAAGTCAATAAGCAGAGCTATCATTGGGTACTGACTGCCAATACAGTATAATGGTGATTGCTGCTGAAAGCCAGGCAATCAAATCTATCAATCTCTTCTCTGCCTCTCCCCTCATCCCTGTCCCTTCCACTCACACTTCCCCCAGGGTTTCTCAACTCTGCACTTCAGCAAGTTTCTATGTATTTTTAAGGTACTGTATGACCATCGCTTCAGCTGGCAGAAGAGCTAAATTGATAAGGGTATCAAATTAAGGTTTAACCAGATAAAACTATTCCTTCTCCACAGCCTTTGAGTGTCGATATTTTACAGAGATCTAAAACACTATCCCATCATTTCTGATGGTAATTTCATGGAAACTGAAATAATTTAATATCATGACCCTTTATTTGTTTTTTTTTCTAATTTGAAACAGGTATTTTGGATACCTCAGGGACTGGTTACCTCCACTATCAGACTGAAGGAACTGATCAGCTTTAGTTTTAAATACTGAAGAATTCTGAGGGAACACATGGAGTCAAACTCCTCAGAGGTATTAACAGCCCACTGTACTGATTCAGGCTCCAGCGCCACACAAGTACCTTATGACACAAAGGAAAATTACATTACAGACCGAAAATCGGAGGAGGGGGAACTTTCTTCACATTTGTTGGTGACTGAAACAGACTATTCAGTCATGGTTGTTGAGGCTTATTCCATCAGGAAATAACAGAATGCAGCTCTTGAGTTAGTGAGTTACTGAGAAACAAATGAGGAAAATAATTAGTCCTGCTAATTGTGGCCTTTTCCTATTTTCTCACATATTTTTACACTCTATTCAAACATCTCATCCCACCCTACCTGTTTTCCCCCTCTAGTTTAAATGGCTCAGTAGTTTCTCTTCTCTCCCTGATCTGCTGCGTGTCTGAGGTGCTGAAGTCAAACAGGCAGCTCTCACTAATGCGGGGGTTGCTCTTCAGCTGAGGATGATGTGTGACCCTACCTGCTTGTGAAGATCTGTAAAGATGCAAGGAATTCCAGTTTAACACTTCTTGTTTCAAGTATGAAACATCTGCCTCAGCGGTAATAGCACACATTGTCCTAAGAAAGCAACACATTTTTTTTATTCTCATTCTCACAAAATGTGCTTCAGGAACTGAGCCCCCAGACTCAAAGTACCACCTGCCAGACGGAAGCAGAGAAGAGCCAATTCCCTCAGAAACAGAAACTCCAGGCTAATTCTCTCAAAGGTGCCTGTAAAGCTGTGACTTTTCACTTCCTCAAACCAAGGATTCTTGTTACTCAGATAAGGGAGCAGAGAGGCAGAAGTAAGAGGCGATGTCAGAGAAAGTTTCGTGTCTAAAAATGGATGCCACTTCACACAAGCCAAAGGACCCTCTGTTACATATGGAAAAGAGGTACTCTGTGACATTTTTGCCAGACCATCAATCCCAGCATTTCATGGCTACAGAAATAATCAAAACAAAAGAATTTCTTTCAGGATAGTTTTCTAACTTATTTACCAACAACTTTTTAATTTCCTGTAAAATTAAAATGACAAGCCATAGAAGCAGGATAGAAGTTCTTATATAGTAAATATAGAATTATTAAGTTCCCAGAAGGTCTCAGGCTTGTCATTTCAGTGGATGCCTAGTAGAGAGACCTAGGCAATTAATCTCAGCTCTGTCCAGGGCTGTTCCGAGGCAACTGGGTGTTCCTAGCCGATACTGATCTGCACTTCCTCACTCTTCCCATGTGAGTTCAGGGGTCATCGCTGTGGGTCGAGATGGAGATAGAGATACAGCTAGTGATTCCCATCTGAGAGGGTGTATAATAAAAATATTGAGAATTACACATCTTACAAAAGAAAGGAGAATGACTTAGCTTGTCAAGACGTCCACAAGGAACAGTGTTTTATGTTAATGTGAGGTCAGAGAATCATTGAGCCATCACAATCAAAACATGGGATCATTGAAAGTGTTTTTTTAATTACCTTCCTTATGTTGCTTTATTCTGGAATTTTTCTCTGGACTTTATGAAAAGTGCCTGAATCTCATAACAAGCTTTGCAGCCCTTTGTAAATAATCAAATTCTTCCAGCCACTCTGGAGAGCTCACTAAACTGAGGAGTCCTTTGGCTGTAGCCGAGACAGCAGCATACACCCTGTGCCATGTGATCCCATGCTCCCAAATTAAAACAATCTGTTCTGTACAATTGCTAAGAAAATGCCTGATTGGCTCAACATGGGGT